GAAAAAATACTCCTTTTAAAAGGTATGCTGAGGTTGCAAGCAATCAATTGAAGTCTTACATATTAAACAAGGCGCCACAACATTAAAGACACAAACAAAGGGAGCTTTTTGTACAGTTTGGTCAGCTAAAGGAAATAATTTTTTTATCATGAACCTTTAATCTAATAAGCCATATGGATCCTACAACAGAAATGGGCAAGAAGCCCCTAAGTTAGTAACAAGTTTAAACAGGCAATCAAGGAGAGGGCGGAGGAAGGAAGGGTTTTACCCACGGTGGGGGCTCCTCCCTGAGGTCCTGTCATACCAAGATGTAGGCAATCCGGTTGGGGTGGCCCTCTCGTCCAGGGCAGAAGATGATGTTCTTAACTGCTAAGATGAGGGGAAGGTGGAAAGTCCCCTCCGGTGGCCAACCCACGGAGAATGTGGGCCACTCAGACAAGCAGAAAGTCTGCCATTTACTTTTTTAACCTGTAAGGAGAGATTGTGAGCCCTCTCTCAAACCTCTGACCAATGGTCGAGGGTGAGGGACAATGGGGACGATGTCGTTTGTCCCATGGTGTTCTGAAGACAAAGAGTGGTTAGCGTACGCGCGACACAACAAATAACCGATCACAACAGTCACAACACACAGGACAAACAGGCCGGCCACCTCACTCTCACGCATGAGTTTCACATCAAATGAGTCACCTTAGGGGGTGCCTCCAGATTGGCCCGGACGGACCACAGATTGGGAATGAAATTCCCCAGATTGGCCCAGACGGACCACAGATTGGGAATGAAATTCCCCAGATTGGCCCAGAAGGACCACAGATTGGGAATGAAATTCCCCAGATCGGCCCAGAAGGACCACAGATTGGGAATGAAATTCCCCAGATTGGCCCAGAAGGACCACTGATTGGGAATGAAATTCCCCAGATTGGCCCAGAAGGACCACAGATTGGGAATGAAATTCCCCAGATTGGCCCAGAAGGACCACAGATTGGGAATGAAATTCCCCAGACCGACAGGAAAACCCTATCGCAGACGGTGAGTCACGGAAAACCGTGTGGGGCGTCCCCCGGTCACCAGAGAACAGAGAACAGATAACAAAAACAGGTAACAAAAATTGCCCGGTTGGCTCGGGGCGTAAAATACCGGTAGATTGATCCTCAGAGTAAAAATAAGAAGCGACCGGTCGTACTCACCCACCGCAGAGCCGTTGAGGTCACCTCCCGTGAGACGTGCTATCTCGCTGGGGCCTCCAAGATGTTAGGGCCGACGCCGCAGGGAAAGAGACCCCAAGGACTCAATTCTTGGTGAGGGAAAAAAGTTTATTTCCATGCGCATGGGGTCCCCCAGGCAAACAAGTGCGGAGGGCCCCGAGGGGGAATTGTGCAGGGTTTTTAAGGGCGCAGGGAGGCAAGCGAATTTACAGAAGCAGATTGCATTGGTTAATTTTGAGCAGGATAGGACTTGGCAGAAGTTGATTGGAGGGGTTTGGGGTTGAGTAACCATGGAGACTGGGGGTCCTAGCCCAGTCACTATGTGCCCAGAACAGAACAGTTACTTGTCTTACTTATCTCCTTGAGACAGAACAACCTTGCAGGTGCATTTTTTCTTTTTTTTTTTCCTCTGCTCTGATAGCTCTGGGGAGTTAGGCATTTCTTTCTGCTCTGCTCTGATAGCTCTGGGGAGTTAGGGAGTTAACCCTTTTATTCCCCGCTCTGGGGAGTTAGGGAGTTAACCCTTTCATTCCCCGCTCTGGGGAGGGGGTTATAGCAGGGGGGTCAACTCTCACATGATGATTGAACCCAGGACCTCAAACATACATCACAAGTGCTCTAGCCTTGAGCTACATCCTCAGGTCTTTAAAAAGATACATTTATGTATATGTACGGCCCGACTATGAAGCCCAGATTAGCCTTGAACTCAGGGTAATCATTCTATCTCAGCCTTCTGAGTTCTGATAACAGGCATGGATCAACATGCACAGCTAATTTTGGTTTTCTTGAGACCGTGTCTCACTATTTAGCTTAGGATGGTTTTTGAGCTTCCAGCATATTCCCTTAGTTTCCCAGATACTGTGATTACAGTGCCATGCTTGGCACACAAGGGAGATTTTAAAAACATATGATGTAGTACATCTTACATGATTATGGGCAGCTCAGTGTCTAGCCCCAAAATAGCAGTTTTAGGTAACAGTTTATGAATCTGGTACAGATTTTATTTTTTTGGCTACTGGGAATTGAACTCAGGACCTCATCCTTGCCAGGTAGGTTCTGTGCCTCAGAGCTACATCCTCAGCCCCCAATGTCTTCAATTTAGCCCTCATCCAATGAATTGTCTTGGGTTCCTGATAGAACAGACTTAAAGGATTTTAAAAAGCTGATTTTTGAGGGGCTGGGGATTTACCTGAGCGGCATAAGCATCTGCCTTGCAAGCAGGCAGTCGTGAGTTCGATCCCTGGTACCGATAAAAAGGAAAAATGCAAAAAAAAAAAAAAAAAAAAAGCTGATTTTTGCCAGATGTGGCACAGATGTGGCACTGCATGCCTGCAATGCCAACACTCGGGATGGAGAATCACTGGGAGTTCAAGGTCAATCTAAACTATATAGCCTGCTGGGGATTTAGCTTAGCAGCACAAGTGCCTGCTTGGCAAGCAGGAGGTCCTGAGTTCAATCCCCAGTACCAAAAAACAAAAATTTAAACAAAAACTATACATCCAGACCTTATCTACAAAAAACAAAAACAAATAAAAAGATAATATATAGTTTTTAAAAATTTTAACTGTGCCACGGATATAGCTCAGTGGCACAAGCACTTGCCTGGTAAGTGCAAGGTTGTAAGTTCAATTCCTGGTACAAAAAAAAAGGAAAATTTGTGAAATGTTAACTGCTATAATTTGGTTCTCATGTTATCTAAAGTAATTGTTAAGATAAATAACTGCCAGGAACTGGGGGTTTAGCTCAGCAGCATAAGTGCCTGCCTGGCAAGTTTAAGATTATGAATTTAATCCCTAGTACCAAAAAAAAAAGCTAGAAAAATAAATAACTGCCAGACGAAATTCCTCTGTGGCTAAAAAACCAGGTTCCTGCTTTAGTTTTCTCTACTGATGAATTTTTCTCTACTTTGGTTTTTTCCAGTCTCATTGTGGCTTACCTGAGCAAATGCTATTAAGTAAATTATTATGATATATAATTAAATTGGCTATAATTAAGAGTCTAAAAGCTTTCTATGCCTAAAGCAACAAGATTTTCTTAAACTATTAAGGGATCTTGGGGGCTAGGGCTATAGCTCAGCAGAACAATACCTGCCTGGCAAGCATGAGGTTCTGAGTTCAATTCCTAGTACAAAAGAAAAAAAAGGGGGGGGCTAGGGATTTAGCTCAGTGGCATAAGCACCTGCCTTGCAAGCAGGTGGTCGTGAGTTCGATCCCCCATACCGATAAAAATGAAAAAGACAAAAAAAAAAAAGAGGTTATTGGTTAAACTTACAAAAACTAGATTAAGAAACAAAGGTTTTATATTTCACTAAGATAATTTCTTATGTTTTCCTTTGTTAGACTTTTGGTTATTTAGAATACTAAGTTTTCCCACACGTAGTAGCACATACCTGTAATCCTAGAATTAGGGAGACTGATGTAGGAGAATCACTGTGAACTTAAGGCCAGCCTTAACATAGTTCAAGTTCATCCTTGGAAGGAACCGTAGAGATGATTCTCCTTGAAAAGAGGAGCAATTATCTCCATTTTGGATAAACGTGGCCCTCTCTCCATGTATTGATATGTACAGAGCTGGTTAGGTTATTTCTTTGTCACTTCAATTGGTTTTAAGCAATGTAAATTGGGCTGGATGAGAAATTGATGTATAATCTCTAAAGCAAAGTGACAGGTCAATGTTCCACTACCCAGTGACTCCCCAAATACATGGTTGAGCAAGGCAGGATGGAGAGCCATGCCTTGAGAAAGGGGCTATGACTTCCCAGGGCAAACAGGATTGTGCATCAAAACTGAAGTACCGGCCCCAAATTATTAGATACTACCTCAGTTGTGTTATGTGGATTGCCCTCTCTGTATTTCTTGCCCTCTGCTTATCGCCAAGGTAATCTCAGACCTCCTACTATCCCAGCTCATGGTAGTCATGGCAGTCACGTATTTCCTGCCACTCTCACTGTCACTCATTGCCAAGCCACTCCCCTCATGGGGAATTAATAAAACCTGGGAAGGGCTCTGGGTTGAAGCTTTTGTTCTGGTGAACCAACATCTTGGCTGGATTTAGGACCCCTTGACTCCCCACAACTATATATATATATGTCTCTGTGTTTTCTTACCATAGGTTTGCACTGGAAGTGATAAATTGGAATTAACTCACTAGAATTCCAGTAACTTCCTGGGATTACAATTATAAACCTTCCTGGAACGTGATAGGACAGCAAAGAGTTCTCTATACAACCTGAACTACAGAGCAAGACTCTGTCTCAGAGAAGTGAGAGAACAGCTGACATGGTGCACTCTGGGAGTCTTGTGGTGCCCCGCAAAGTCCTGGGGCTGCTGTCTTGGGGGACTTCCTGGACCTGGGCAGAGGAGTGATTTGTGCATTCTCATGAGAACTGGAGAGAACTACTAGAAGGAGAGTGGATGATAGAATTTTATGCTCTATGGTATCCTGCTTGGCAAACTCTTCAACCAGAATGGGAAGGTTTTGCTGAATGAGGTGATCTTGAGGTTAAAGTTGGGAGAGTAGATAGATGTCTCGGAGCAGACAGGACTAGAGGCATGGTTTATTGTAACTGCTCTTCCTACAATTTATTATTGTAAAGGCGGTAAAATCAGGTTGTATCAGAGTCCAAGGATTAAGAATGACTTCATAAACATTATAAGCGAAAAATAATGGAAGAATAATGAACCCATCATCACGGTTTTGTCCAAGTTTTTTTTTGTTTGTTTTGTACGGAGGATTGAACTCACAACCTCATGCTTGCCAGGCAGGCACTTACACCACTGAGCTAAAAAGGCACAAATGTAAAAACAAGGGTTAGATGCCATGAAGTAGGTGGCAATGCCTTAACAATATGCATGTTGTCAGGACCAAGGGCCTCTTCCATCCCTGTCAAGGGGAGTGCTAACCTTCTTTCTTTTGATACAACACCCAGTTTTTTTTTTTAATTAAAAAATTTTTTTTTAATATTTTGGTCTTTTTGAGACAGAGTTTTGCTATGCAGTTCAGACCTTGGACTCACTTTGTAGCCCAAGCTGGCCTTGAACTCTTAGTGATCCTCCTGCCTCAACCTTCCAAAGTGTTGGAATTATAGCCCCAAGTTCTGTTCTTTTTTTTTTTTTTTAATTTTATTTAAGGAGAAAAGAAAAAAAAAACAGTGAAAGGGTACAAGTTATACAGATTTACAGAAGAAAAAAATGAACAGTAGGAAATCACTAGTTAATGGATTACATATTGCCATCTTAGAAATAATTTTTCAAGTCACAAAATTAAAGCTTGTAGAGTGGACATTCCAACAATGATACTGCAAACAGTTCTGTTCAATGATCCAATAAAACTCTGTGATATCATTTTCTATCTTATACACTTAAATATACATGCAGTTATATAGTTTAGAGCACTTTCTTTTCCTTTCTTTTGTATAATGACTATTACACATTTTGGGTTTCATTGCTCCCACGGTTCTTATTGCTTTTTTGGAAGAGAGTAAAACCAAGTGTGACATAACAGACCAGAATCGGTCAAGTCAAAAGGGTGGACATAATAGATAATGTAAAAACATAATACAAGGTGATCAACAATGGTTACCATAATGCCTCCCGCTATCTCTAATAGAATTGCCTATATCATTAGTTATAATACAATTGAACAAAACAGTAAAGAACAAAACCGACAAAACCAAAACATTGGAGACATTGTAGGTATTCAAAAGTAGATAAAAGTCAATGAGAATGGGCGTTATAATGAATCTCATTATCTTCACAGCTGATGCCTAAACTTTCGAACCTGATACTATCCAGCAAAACAGAATAGGAGAACATCAGTCAAAAACAAGATGGTGAGAGTAATACAGGGCTTCAAATCATGATAATAGAAAGTCAAAGTGGGTTACTATAATATATCCTGCTATTTTTTCCCTTTAATTAAACGGATAAAAATAAAAAAGTAAATAATGGAGTGGAGATTGAGATAAAAGAGGGCATAACAGCGAAACAGCACAGATCAAACATAACTATTTAAGCAGAATAGTGTTTCACCACCAGATAATTCCTACCCAAAAGTAGTTACCATATTGACTCTTTCCTTGAAGTCTTTGAGTACAACTTCGTATACTGTAGCATTAAGTATATCAAAACAATGTAAAACCTTTTAAGAGAATGACAGCATTACAGAGTATTTAGAATCGACTAACAGAAAATGAACAATGGTTTCTGTATAATCTCCTTGTCTTTAAAAGGTTTTTGCTTATACTATCGCACGTAATAAAATCCAGTAAGATACAACCTATTTAGACCATTGGAGACAGAAGAACAAAAGCTAGATGAGACTTCAAAACAAGATGATACTAAATCAGTATTACCTATTAAGATGTCATTTTCTCCAAAATAGCTGTTCCTATCATCCAATCTTCTCTGTCTCATTTCTGTTGAGCTCTTTTTCTGTCAGTAGCTGTCAGTTTGTCTTCTTCATTTTGTTCTCTGCTCCATTCATTGTGGCCTCCCCGCCACTATTTCTGGGTTCTTTGTATTTTTCTTTTTTTAGAATATCCTGCAATACTTTCTGTAGAGTTGAATTGGTGGTTGCAAATTCCCCCAGTTCCTCTTTATCCTGGAAGCACCTTGTTTTTCCATCAATTTCCAGGGACAGTTGTGCAGGATATCTCAATCTTGGCTGGAGATTATTATCTTTCAAAGCTTGAATTATTTCCCCCCATCCTCTTCGTGATTTGATGGTTTGTGCAGAGAAATCTGCTGTAATTCTGATGGGTGTTCCCTTGTAAGTGGTCTGTTTCTTGTCTCTGACAGCTTTTAATATTCTGTTCTTGTATTGAATTTCTGGAATTTTTATTATTATATGCCTGGGTATCGCTCTGTTTGGGTTGTAGGTAGCTGGGGTCCTGTATGCCTCATACATCTGAGTATCTTTACCTTTTGCTAAATTAGGAAAATTCTCCTAGATTATTTCTGTGAGTAGCTTTTGTAGTTCACTTGTTTGTGTCCCTACTTCTTCTTTTATGTTCTTAATCCTTAAGTTATTGCTCCTCTTATCATCTTCTTGTCTTTGTGTTATTGCTGTTTGTTTCTTTGTTATTTTTAAGAAGTTTTTCATTTCATTCTCCCATATTACAAGTCTGCCCTCCAGTTCAGATAGTCTGTCCTTAGTTTCTTTCAAGCTGTTATGCCAGTCTTCGATAGACTTCTTAGTATCTTGGTAGTCCCTTTGAACCTGCTTCACGTATTCTATGCTTTCTCTGTTTTCTCCATCAAACAATTCTCCCCTCTTTATCTGTTCTTCCATTCCACCATCTGTTTTTTCTTGGGTGGTGCTTAGCATTTCTCTAACTATTCTGCATACTTCTAGCTTCAGGTCGTTGATAACTTCATTCCTCAATTGGTCTATGAGGCTCTCTATATGGCGCTTTATGTCTATTGGTGCGGTGTCCGCTATTGCCTGTTTCTCAGAATTGGGGGCCGAGGAGCCTTTCTTGTTGCTGCCTTTTCCCATATTCTCTGTTCCTTATATATGCAAGCTTACATAGGAGGCCCAGCTTCCCTCCCTGTCAGCCAGAGCCTGATCGAATTGCGCTGGCTAGGTGTTCCCGCCCACCGCAGCGCACCAGGGAGTTGCGGACTAGGCAGCCTACGCGGGAGTCGCCCCTCCGGGCCACCGTCAGGCTCTGGGATCTGGGTTGGGCCGGCCTACCGAGTCCGCCAGCAGCGTCACGCAGGCCAGGCACTTTTCACCAATCCTGCCCGAGAGGGGAATGTGTGGCTGGAGTTGCCACCGCGCCCTGCTCCCGCAGGACTGCCCGAGCCCAGAAAGTCCTCCACTGGAGTCAAACTGTGGTAGAGTGTCAGTTTCTCTCACTCACCTCACCACAAGTCAGTGTACGCCTCTCTGCCCGTCCTGTTTTCGACTCCGTTCGCAGACTCCCGTTCTCAGAGCTTCTGCGCATCTCTCTCCTTGCCGAGCCGATATAGAGGCAGCCAGCTGCCGCGCGGCGGGAAACCCAAATCGCGGCTTCCAATGGCGCGGGGTCGAGCCTCCACACCGAGACTTTTCTGTTCCTGTTTTAGCACCAGGACTGCATTCCAAGTTGGTTTCTCTCAGCCCAGTTCGTTCCTGAGTCAGCAGAGCATATCTCTACCGGCTTATGTCTCCTTAGTCCGCACCATTCCTGACTTCTGAACCAAGCCTTTCAGAGAGCCTCCGGAGTATCTGCTATCTGTCTGCCATGTTCTCCCAGAAGTCTCCCAAGTTCTGTTCTGATAAGTACTATGTCAGCACCCTTTTGGCTTTCTATATACATCAGGATTTGCTATTTTATTGGTGATCTTGGACTACTAGTTTGAGAATCACACAATTTTTGCCTTAGCAACTTTGCTTTCTGGACTGTTATTAGGACTTTATGTGATATTTGTGACAGATTGCCTTTGTCTTTCAAAAAGGCACAAACCATAATCATAGCCTGCAAAAAAAAATCATTACCAGAATTTTTTCAAACTTTGAAAAAAATGGTGGAAGAATAAGAGGAAGAACAAGATGATGAGATGTTTCAGAAGAAGCAGAAAGTAAAGAAGAAACAACCAAAGACTTTCCACAGAGTGCCATAATACCCTGTGGATCCATCCTGGCCACAGGTAAATACTGGTTAATTTTTATAAATATCTTAATACTGAGATTTTTTTTCCCTCTTTTGGTACTGGGAATCAAACTCCGGACCTCACACTTGCCATGCAGGCACTGTGCCATTGAGCTTAATCCCTGACCCTAATATTGTCTTTTTGTTTGTTTTGCTTTTTTCCATTACCAGGGATCGAACTCACAACCTTGTGCTTGCCAGGCAGGTGCTTATGCTGCTGAGCTAAATCTCCAGTCCCTAATATTGAGATTTTGAAAAAAAATTGATCATTTTTTTGAAAAGATGAACTATAGCAGCCAGGTGTGGTGGCTCACGCCTGTAATTCCAGCACTCAGGAGGCTGAGGCAGGAGGATCGTTGAGAGTTTGAGACCAGCCTGGGCTACAAAGTGAGCTGTGAGCTGAAGGCCTGCCCCAACTGCCTAGAGACCCTATCTCAAAAGACAAAAAAAAAAAAGATGATCTATAGCTGCGTGGCACATACCTGTAGTCTTAGCATGGGGGGCTGAGGCTGAAGGATCACCACTAGGCCAGTTCAGGCTACATAAATTGAGACCCTGTCTTAAAAAAACACTTAAGTATATTGCAGACTTAGTTTATTTTTTTATTTTAAAGAAAATAAAACAGAAGAGAACAGAATAAAGCAAATCAGAACAGAACAATGCAAGCAACACAGCACTTTACAAGACAACCGGATATTAACAGTAGCACCATAATGTCTCTTTTCTTTGAAATAGTTGAGCAGAATTTAGTTTAGATTGTCATTGGATTGCACATTTTTATTCAGAAAATAAAAACATAAAAGTTTGAAATATGAGTTAAGAACATTGCAGTTTAAACAATTTAATTTTGAAAAATTTGATGCCAAGCAGTAAGATTTGTGTACATAATCACAACCTCTTTCAAGTCTAGTTGAATAATTTTATTGCCTAAGGTTTACATTGTTGGGGATATTTAAGAAGATTAGTCAGAAAAAAATCTGATTTGATGTAATTTTTCTCAATTTAACGTGTGAAAAAAAGATATCTTCCATAAATGGGAACTTTAGAGAGATTAAAAGAAAAAACAATAAAAACAAAACAATTAATGATATAGGGTTTCAAAACAAGATGATGGGAACTTAATAATGGTCACTGTGTTATATTTTGTTATCCTTGAAATAGTTGTTCAGACTGCAAGATACAGAGGAACTTTCCCTCTTGTCTCAAGAAATGAGTATGGTAGTACACACGTGTAATCCTAGCATTCAGGAGGCTGAGGCAGGTGGATCATTGCAAGTTTGAGACCAGC